TAGTGTGGGATTCTCATATGTGGAACAGGAGAAACTTAACAGAGGACCATGGGGGAGGGGAAAAGGAAAAAAATAGTTAAGGAGAGGGAGGGAGGCAAACCATTAGAGAGTCTTAAATACTGAGAACAAACGGAGGATTGATGGGGGTGTGGGAGAGGGGAAAATGGGTGATGGGCATGGAGGTGGGCACTAGTTGGGATGAGCACTGGGTGAAAACCAACCTGACAATAAACTATGAAAAAAATAAAGCGCAGAACCAACGCCGCCCCCCCCCCAACAAAGAGATAGTGTGGTACTGTCATACAATAGGCTTATCAAACACTGGAACAGTACTGAGTGTCCAAAAATAAATCCCCACATAGAAATAAATCTATGTTCAATTGATATTCAATAATGGTCCCAAGATCACTCAGTGGGGGAACAAAATTCTTTCCAGCAAATAATAAAAAATTACCATATGATCCAGCAATTCCATTCTGAAGTACATACCCAAAAGAAATGAAACTTGCATGTAAACATTCATAACAGCATTCTTCAGAATATCTAAAAAGTGGAAACAACCCAATTATCTATCAACTGATAAATGTATAAGCAAAATGTGCTGTATCCATACAATTGAATCGTATTTCACAATATAAAGGAAAGAAGTACTGATCACAGGTCACAACATGAACGAACCTTATAAATATTATGCTACAGGAAAGAAAAACACATACTGTGTGATTCCATTTGTATGAAATGAAATGAAAATATAGATTAGGAAAATCTATACAGACAAAAAGCACATTAGCACCTGGGGGTGAGGGAGCGTGCTGGGGGGGACAGGGGAAGTGCCTGCCGACCTGTACAGGATTTGTCTTGGGGATGATGACCATGTTCTAGGATTGATTTGGGGGATGGTTACACAACTCTGTATATACTAAAACCCACCAAACTGTACAGTGTAATGAGGTAAATTGTATTGTACATTTTCTTAACAACAACAACATTATGCATTAATAAGTAGAACTTAACTCCCCGATATAAACGGCCTAAGTGAGAATAAGCAGGTAAATACTTTTCTTCTCAGACACTTCAGTGAAAACAAGTGGTACAAAATAAATAGAGGCATGGCAATTATTTATATAACTAAGCAATAACATGAGGAAAATAACAAGACTCTCAACATTAGTAGAATGCTTTAAAGGATACAGAGCACATGGTCCTACAGCCAACATACCATAAACCACAATGAGTCGCTTGTCTCCTCCCCTGACTTCACACATAGTGATAACGCACAACGAATAGGAATGCTGCTAACTGTCAGAAAACACACAGTAATTCATACAGAATCTTGAAGAAACAGTTGGTTGGGTCTCTTGAAGGAAGTAAACAGTGGCCCGCGTTAGAAGAGGCCTCACTATCCACTCTGTCTGGATAGATGATGCCTATCCCACCTGCTGGGGGAGCAGGAAAGCAGCAGAAACCAGACCTGTGCCAGCTCAAGGCTGCAAACTAATGATAGAGTAGCTTTCTATTTGGGGGCAGAATCCCAGAGTTACACATGCCGGAGCCAGGACCACTCCACCTACAATTACATCAGAGAGAGGCCGCCATCCAAGAGGAACAATGCTTGGGAAGGAGGTATCTGAAAGTTCTCTCTAGTAAAAGGGACATTCGTGGCAAATGAGCAGTAGAGACTCAACACAGATTCCATACTACAAGCAGCTTCTTCACACCCAACCACTAAATTGCTTGAAAGAGCACAATGGAGAGTCAAGAATTTTATCTCTCTTTCTAAGTGGATCTTCATACCTAAAATAAAATATGTGTATATAGAAAAAAAAGTAGGGGACCTCCGAAGAGTGTAAGCACCATGAAAGGAAGAACAGCATTTAAATAAAATATAATGAATGGTTTCAGAAAGATAAGGGAGAGTATTCAAAATATGAAGCATCCACAAGCAGTTATGAAGAATACACAACCTCAGCTATTGACAACAAACTATATCATTGTTGCTATGCAGTCAGTAAGTGGGTGAAGTAGCTGAAAGGATACATCTAAAGAAAAAATTAGTATTGTGGAATGTTCCCAGAGAGGCATCAATAAGAAATAAAAAAGTACAAATAATGAGAGAAAAGTTTAGAAATATTCATGATAGAAGAAGTATGGAGTATCTAAAAGGAGTTCCAGGACAGATTATGGTAAGAAACATTTAAAGGAATAGTGACCAGGGGCGCCTGTGTGGCTCAGTCGGTTAAGTGTCTTGACTTGGGCTCAGGTCATGATCTCACACACAGTCCGTGGATTCAAGCCCCATGTCGGGCTCTGTGCTGGCAGCTCAGAGCCTGAAGCCTGCTTCAGATTCTGTGTCTTCCTCTCTCTCTGCCCCTCCCTGCTTGCTCTCTGTCTCTCAAAATAAAATAAAGATACAACAAAATTTTTTTAAGTAATAGTGACCAAAGATTAGTCAGAATTATACAAAGTAATAGGCCTGCAGGTTTAAAGGGGGGCATAAACTACCAAATAGGAGAATATGTACACATATTGGAGAAAAATCTAAGAACATTGAGAAACAAGAGAAAATTCTGAAAGACTGCAGAGAAGGAAATGGAGACCATTTACAAAGGACAAAGAATCCAACTGACATCAGACTTGAGACAACGGAGTAATGCCTCTGAAGTTTTGAAGAAGATAACTTTGAAAGTGAACTTTATGTTTAATTAAACTGTTATTTACATGTGAGGACAAAATAAACATTATTGGTAGGCATCTGAGGTCTCAAAGATTATGCCACATAAAATTTCTCTTTGAAGAATATCTTGGAGGATTTACTATAGTGAAAAATAAAGAAATGCAAGAGTAAGCAACTAGATATAAAGAGTAAAGAAGGGTGAAGACCATTCATTGTTACTTAAATATGCCAAGTAAAAAAAGTACACCCATAGTGTCTGGATTAAAATTTCCAAACAGTATTAACATAGGGTAGGAGGAACAGAGGGAGTTGAGAGCATGCTAAAGTATTAATTCTGTTTGAGACAGGCAGGGCAGGAATGTGTATTAATATGCTCTTAGAGAGTGATAGGGAAAATAATCCTCACTAGTAACCTTGATAAGTAATGGGTCACCAACCGAAACAGAGAAATAGAATATGTAACACTCAGTTTAGTAGAAGGAAATCAATTTATCCAAAAGAGACATGGAAAAAAAGGTTAGTAACAAGGTGTGTTAGCACACACACACACACACACACACACACACACACTAGGGTAGCTAAAATAAACTTTCGGAGAACAATAATTATTTTCAGTATAAATAGATTCAGGCAATTAATCAAAAGAGAGACTCAGAATGACTGGGAAAATAAAAAGTTAAGAGTCATTTCTACAAGGGATAGGTATTAAAACAAAAGGAAACAGATTGGACATAAAGGAATAAAAGAAGGACTAGTAAGCAGACAGGAATCAAAAGAAAGGAGAGGTAGAAATTTTAAATAAAATGTAATGCTAAAATGATAACGATAAAGAAGGAAATAAAATCTGGAAAAAATAAAACAAAGAAATGGGATGATTATGAACAAACACACCTCATGATACATGTTAAGCACTAGTAAGCAGCAAATGACACACTCTGGTGGAGCCATTGTATGTTAATTACATTTGTTCCTTAAGTTTGTGAGTTTTCTGGTTCTTCGATTGGTCCTTTTCCTCTGTGGACTATGTACGTATTATTTACATTCATTCTTGTCCTGTGACTTGTGTTTTAATAGTGTTTGAGAATGTTTTTAACAGATGAGGAGAAAAGGAAGTTGGAATTCAAACAGTCCAGGTTTCCTGGATGTGAGGCAAAGGGCCAGCATGAAATTAGAGCACTTAGTGTAACTTTCATTTAATCATTCTGTCTTCTAATTTCTCCCCAAGTAATAATGGACAAGACACATATAAATTTCCTAATGTTCTAAGCTCCCATGGCAACCTGTGATCTAGAGTAATAAAAAATCAAGTACACAAGAGCTAAAAAATGTCTCACAGAGAAATGTCCTCTAAAAACCGGCTCTTTGTATAGCATCCACAAGGCCCGATTCAGTTGTTTAATTTTTTTTTCCAAAAACTCCAAAATTCTATAGACAGAATCAGTTATATTTGTATCTAGGTTTTTGGGGGAGTCTATTTTTGTATTCCTTGCTTTCCTTAAAGAAAAGCAAGATTTGAAAATAGCAACATGAAATTAGTCACATAAGGGAACTTTTCAAAAAAGGAAATACAATTTTCAACCCTACAGCGCTTCTTAATGTTCCTATGTAAACACCTTACCATACATGAAATATAAATAAAAAATAATCAGCATACAACACAATTACTATGCCCCGAAATGCTTTGATTGGTCATTAATCATAAATCATAATCGGTGGACTTTTCCTCTCGATGGGCCATTATTTTCAGAAACCGTTCTATGCATTATTTCAGGAATCCAGTACTACATTTACTTGCACATAATGATTTCTCCTTCACCACACTCCAATAAAAGAGGATACTAATACAGCCATTGCCACAAATAAAAATATTCCCAATATTCTACAATTCTCAACATTCAACAATGAAGCTATATGATTACAACGCAACTCATCTCCACCCACCTTTTATAGTCAACTTCATTAATAAAGATAAATGTGAATTGTTAACGAAAAGGTGTTGGGCACTCCAAGGACTAAATATAGGTGCTTTGTTTCTTCCATCATACCTGTATCTTAAATTCCTTCAGCTCCGATCTGTCAGAGAAAGGCTGCCAGGTGAGCAGTCTGTCACTCTTGCCTAGGCTAATAGATTCTCCGGTGGCTTCTGTTACAGCTCATGTCATAGCATTAAAACTATGTGCCTTGGAAGTGTCATAACATATGTAGCTGGATCTTGTCAACTCTACATAATCAGATCGTATTTGGCTACACAAGCAGATGCAGATTAGAGAAGCAAGCGATATAAATATGCAAATCACGGTGGTCCTCTCCGCACCACCGGTCTTACCTCCACTGGCCCCGGCAGATACTCGGTTTGTTCAGCTCCTACTTCCAGAGCTACATCAACAGAAGCAAAGGGACGGCTGGCCATCTGCTGTCGTTCTCGAAGCAGTTGCTGGAGGGGGGTAAAAATGATTTGTTTAAAATGGGTTTAAAAGTACATGCAATTCAACAATATCTGGTTCCATTTTCAACAAATGATACTCAGAATTTAGTAATCATATGATACACATATCTACAGCGAGATCACTAAAATGAAAATTTGTTTTCTCCCCATGGCCTGCGTTATAAATCCACAGAGGCTTTAAACATATGGTACCTGCAAAGGACTTTTCCCCTGACCTCTATCCCACAGACCTAATGAAATGTACTCAAAAGCATTTTTGAAAACTCCAGCTGAGAGGGTCTACTTCAGTAAAAAGTGCTACTGTGACAATGGCTATGCCAAGCAGCTTTTGTCTTAGGTGAAGGTAAAAAACAGCAAAAATGTTTAAGAAAGGACAATAAAAAGTTTCAAAATGCATTAGTAGAGATTAAAGAAACATACCTGAAAAGACTAAGTCCTAGAAGTCGTCAAGACCTCCTGTCAACTGCTAGGGAACCAGCAGGAATTGTCAGGGACAGTGTTTATAATTTGATTCAAACTCTGTCTTCATTATTTAAAACGAGTAATGGTTAATAGGTTGCAAAAATTTTGTGCCAAGGCTTCTAAGACACGCCCAGATATTTGTTTCTTTTTCCTTGTGCCTACTCTGGGCTTTACCCAAGCTAAAACCAATAAACTAGTATGTCCCAGCCAACTACCGAGCTAATTTATATTTCTGCCTTTCCCTGTAATTATAATATTCATTAAGTCACGATAAGAAAAAATTGATGACCAGCAGTAGATATTGCAAATCTTGCCCTTCTCATTCTACACAGCTAATAAAATTATTATTAAATATTAAAAGTGGATGAGCGATGCAATTAAATACTCTTTCAAATGAGAAGAAAATCCTATCATTGAAAAAGGCAAAATCCTTGAACACAATGAATAGTTTCATTATTCACAGAGATTTTTAAAGATTCACTGGCATTAACTTAAAACATTAACAACCAGTATTTGAATGTAAATGTATGTCGCGCTGTGATGCATCATTCATAAAATTTCCTTTTAGATGATGAAGGAACAAAAGCCAATACCTGATGGCAGTTTATTATTTAACATTTTTGTTTTAACACTTACAGCAGTGATGGTGTTCATGAGATGAGCATCTAAAATATAACTTAAACAGGGCTCCTTGGTGGCTCAGTAAGTTAAGCTTCCAACTTTGGCACATGTCATGATCTTACAGTTGAGCCCTGCATCAGGTTCTGTGCTGACAGCTCAAAGCCTGTAGCCTGCTCTGGATTCTGTCTCCCTCTCTGCCCCTTCCCTGCTGATGCAGATTCTCTCTCTCTCTCTCTCAAAAATAAGTAAACATTAACATTTAAAAAATAAATTAAATAAAATATAATTTAAGGCCTTGCTTTGTTATTATTAAAAAGAGAACAACCACATGCCAATATTGATGGAATGGGAATAATACAGTTAATACCGTGTAATAATTTAAGTTCTTAGAACATATATATTTAAAAGTAATGAAGACATATTAAAACATACTCAAAGTAAAAAGTAAGTGATCTAAGCTACCAAATTATTCATTTAATATAACCTCAAAATTGTATTATTAAATATGCAGCTGCTGGAAAACGGAGTCTTATTTGTGTCTTTCTTAGGATTGGCCAATAGATCTGAACATTTTGTCTATACAAAATGCAAACAGAATATTACTTCAAACTCCAAGGGACTCTAAGTGTAGAAGACACCATGTTTTTTGTCTCTGCAATAAAAATATGCACACAAAGATACAGACACACACATATGCAAATATACCTACTTTTCTGATGGTAATGGACAAATAGCCTTGAGAAAACTATAAACTCTACTTTGGGTTTGAACACAATTTTCTTTCTTTCTTTTTTAATGTTTATTTATTTATTTTTGAGAGCGAGAAAGAAAGCATGCACACACTGGAGAGGGATAGAGAGAGGTAGAGAGAGAATCCCAAGCAGACTCTGCACTGTCAGCACAGAGTTCTACCTGGGGCTTGAACTCACGAACTGTGAGATCATGACCTGAGCTGAAATCAAGACTCGGATGCTTAACTGACTAAGCCACCTAGGTATCCCTGAACACAATTTTCTAACATTTGTATCAAAAAGTTTCTTCATTTGTACTAGTTCTCCTCAGAATACAAACCACATGTCATAATTAAGAGGTTTTTAACAAAATGAACTTCTGTTTCTTTAACTTACCTTCTCTCTACTTCTAAAAGTAAAAGATTTACAAAATATAATTAATGAGTATTCAATACCACAAATTGTAATTTAAATCTGTAAATATTCCAAATTCACTATCTTTGACAAAGGATAGACTTTTCTGAACTATCGTGTATTATTGTGACACCCCAACACTCATAATGAAGAAAAAAATCAGTGACTAATACTTTTGTTCATTTAAAAAAAAAAGCTGGATACAAAGGTATTTTTAAAGATTCCAATGTGTCTTCTGAGCTTTGACTTTCCATCACTTTCTAAAAGTTGAATGTCTACAGTACTCTTTGCAAAGCAGAAGAAAAACATTGTTCTTGCTCAAGACCATAACACTATAGTTTGTAAAAGAAGACATGATAATAAAAAAAAAAAAAAAATAGGGCACAAAATAGTGTCCAGTAAAGGATACACATAGAGAACTAGCTAAATGAATTCTCTCTGGGCCACTCAGTAGAGGACTAGTACCAGGACTCTGGCTTGCCACACTCAGTTTCTGACTTCGGAAAACAAATGTAAATATTCTGATTGATACTCAGGAAAGGTAAATCATTGTTCATGAAACATTCTTGCTTTGATGTGATGGCCTTACAATAAAAAAGTGGAATAAAGTGAGATTCTCCTTGCTACTAAGTTCTGGCTCTCAGCCAAATCTTTATCAATTGCCCTCCTTTTTGCCAGTTAACATCTGTATGCATTCCTTCCTGAATTTAGTCCCCTCTGTGTCAGAGCAAAGAAGATATGAATAGCATGCTGGTTTACCACTTAAACTTTGTCAAGATTTAGCATAGATGCTGACAGGAAATATAGAAGGGCTCTGGAGTTAAAAGGACCGGTGTCTGAATGCCAGTTTTTCCACTTATTAGCTATTGGAGCTTAACCAAATTATTTAGACCTCTCTAAGCCTCAAATTTGCGCATTTGTATAGCTGGGATATTAATGGTGTCGATATCTACCCCCATACCTCAGAGCACTCGTTTTGAATCCCAGCCTCTCCATCCACAAACTCTTGGACCATAATCAGATTACTCGGACATTTTTAACACTTATTATTTCTCTCCATAAAATGGGACTAGCAATCATATCCGAAGGGATAAGGCACCGAGGAGCACTTGCACAGCTCAACACAGAGGCTGGTACGCTGAGGGCGCTCAGTAAGTGTTCAGTGGTCCAATTATTATGTGAAATTTCAAGCGTTAATTTTATCTTTGAAGACGGCACACTAATTACCACAGGCCCGTTTTCTTCACACAGTCTGCTCCACTCTCCCTTTTAACAAATGTTGCAGATTTATGAGACAGTTGGAAAATGTCATGATTGTGGTAACATGAATTTAGACTTGGGACTACATTCTGCGATTTGTGACAGAGAATGATAAAAACTCCATCTAAAAGTTAGGAGGAAATAGAGAGTACTTTCTTAAGAACTTTTGAAAAATGATTAATTTATTTTGTGATTGTGATTTTTATATAAAATGAAGTTCAACATTTTGTACATCAATAAGAAGCCATAAAACAGATGATCTGTTTTTATAACTAATCTGCTATTGCCAATTATTTGGCAGAAAGATAAAGCCAAGAGAACAAATTGACCATAATACACTAGATTCTAATCGTGCTGCCATAAACACTGCTGTGGAGAAAATTTAAAAATTAAAGAGATGCTCTTAGTGCCATGTTTGTTGTTTACAATAACTGTTTTATTATTCAAAATGTCTTATAAAACACACCATGAAATTAAAGATTATATGAAAATCCTGGTGTAAATATGGCAGTCAGGAACAGTCTCTGATTCGATCAAATGTATCTATAATTCTTCCATTCAATAAGACTACTTCAAATACTGTATCATTTTTCAAAGTTCACACTAACCACCTTTCTAACCATTCCAAAGGCATACAACTCTCTAACAGATTTTAGGATAAAAATCCTTAAACACTAAACAGACAAAAAAGTAACTAATTGTCCCCAATTTTCTTCATGTCTCCTTCCTCCTACGTCTAGGTTCTATCTAGCTTTTGCCCCCACTTCCAAAAGTCCTGCTACCCTTCCCCAAGTTTGAAGTGATTATCTCACCTATGAATTACTTACTATTTTAGTGTGGTGCTATATCTTTAGGTTTTTCTGAAATCTTCTTTAAGGAAAAAATCTATTTTTATTTGTTTTTTTTATTCCCCACAGCATTTAGTTGGTAGTCAATACTATTTGACGAATGAACATGAATGAGTGACTTAGGATATAAAAATATGTATCATCCTGTGTGAGTGAAGGCAAGTTATGATAAAACTAATTTTAATTATGATTAAGCCTTTAAAAGCATATGTCCCCTGATATTCTAGAATTTATGTCTTATCCTCCAAAGTAAGTAGATATTTACTTTTATACAATGGGGCAATTCTGTGGACCCAACGGATAAATACCAGGTTTCATATTTTTACTTTATTGCAAATATGAAAAAATGGCCATAAAGATATAATGCATTCATATTTTTAATAGTAGTTCTATTCCTAAGATTTTGGAAAAGCATAAAAGGAACTGTCAAAATGATTTACTCATTACTCCTGAGCTTATATACTAAAATAACAAAGTATTTGAATTAGAGATTAAGCAACATTTCATGAAAAAGAGTATTTCTGTTATTAATACAAATACATGTACCATACAGCAATGTAAGTGAACAATCAATTTTGTTCTTTTGGTGTTAGGATGGTGCAAAGAAGTAAAGAGAAGTGGCAATATCTTTTTATATCCTTAAATTAGGAAA